GGGGCAGAAGCCGTGCTATGGGTCCATGGCCATGGGTGCCATGGGTTCAGGAAGCTGGGAGCTGTGGGGGCCGCCCCATGGGGAGAGGCTCTGGCAGGACCTCAGCTCTCAGCAGGGATGGACAGGCAGTGTCCCCCTCCCCGGGCATCTGTGGGGCAGGGGTCCATGCTCTGGTCCCACACAGCACTGGCTTTAGAGCATCCCCCCCACCAAAACAGGCCTTAAAGGGGGACAAAGTCAAATGCAGGTCCTGGGAGGTGTGCAGAATACCTGCTGCATCCTGCTAGCCACCCTGGTGCTGCTACTTGCCCTGCCTGGTTACCCCAATGCAGGCAGTGGCTCCATCCCGCCTCCCCCAGCCATGCCCCCTTACTTGATGGAGCCATTGAGCTCCTCGATCTGCTCCCGCAGTCGCTGTGCCTCATCCTGCAGAGCTGCCCGCTCCTGGTGCAGCTTGCAGATGTACTCTGCTGTCTTCTGCAGGGTGGTGGCCTTGCTGACCTGCAGGGCCACAGGGTGAGAGCTCAAGGTGAGCAGGGCGTGGGACACCCAGTACTCCATGCAGCGGAGCTGGCGGCGCGAGGTATCATGTTTCCTGCTGCTGAGCCTCTGGGGCTTCTGCCACAGGCTCCAGAGCCCAGACTGTCCCGGAACAGCGGCACTGCGTGAGTCTCCATGCGCCTGGAGTGGGCTTGCAGCCTCCTGCCCCATGGGCTGGTGTGCAGGGCAGGAGCCTTGTGCGTGGGGGCAGACCAGGGATGCAGTGTCCCTGGGTGACACACTGTGTCCCTGTGTACCCAGGGCTGGTCCACGCAGCCCTGGGCGCTCACCTTGATGCTGGGCTGGGCACTCAGCGTGCTCACCAAGCTGTGCAGCGTGTCAAAGCCCAGCTTGATGTTGAAGCGTCTCTTCTGCTCGGCAGAGATGTGCATGATGCGGCGGCTCTCCATCTGTGGGCCAGCACTGTCAGGCACCTCCTGGCAGTGGGCACCTGCCCCATCGGGGGTGGGCTGGCCCAAAGCTTGCAGCAAGGCTTGAAAGGGGGAGTTTGGGGGGCAGCAGGAAAGGGGGGTGCATATGGAGATAGTGCCCCCATAGGAAGGCAGCAGTTGCTCCTGACATACCTTGCTGGACTCAGGCCTGCCCCGACGGGACACGGGGTGGTGCAGGGAGATGCCAGTGCCCAGCCTCATAGTGGGTCCTGGGGAATCCTGGCTGGGCTTGGGCCAGTCACTCCCTGGAAAAGGAAAGATGATGATCTGGGGAGAAAGAGGGCAGCAGCAGCAGCCCCTCGTGATGGGCTGACAGCAGGGTCCCACACTGGGATGTGGAGAGGAGCAGCCTGCAGTGCTGCAGGCTCTGGGGCAGCCGATCTGCTCAGCTGATGGGGATGCTCCAGTCCAACATCCACCCATATCATAATGCTTTGTCTTATCCCAAATCTCGCTCATTTTACAACTGCTCAGAAATGGGAGCATTGGGGATGTGACGTTTTAAATTCCCAGCATTTCTTGAGGTGGAAATCACCAGGAGAGAGTCCCAAGGGCAGCACGGCTGCAGTCTGCAGCACCAAACTGAAACTGGGAATGACACCAGAGCCCAGTTTCCAGCCTCCGCTCTGGTTTCTGTGGGTGAAAGCAGGGTGCTTCCTGTTTGAAAACCAAACTCTGGGTTTTCAAAACCACGGTCTGACATTTTGTTCCTTTTTGTCTTTTTTGGTTTTGCACCTGTAGAAGGAGGCAGGTGGAGGGGGTGTGCCCTCCCCATGGAAAGAAGTCATCCATGCTCAGCTGTGTAAATGTAAATAGCTGGGATTGAAGCTGGAATGAAACATTCCCACAATATTTGGTCCAAGATCCCTGCAGGAAACAGTGTTCTGTGGAGCTCCTTGGGATGCCCCAGACTTACCACAAGCTGATATGGGGGACAGCTGCTCTGCTTTGGGGACCAGCAGTGGCCCTGGCTGGGTGCTCACCAGTGGCACTGGCACTGCTTGGGACGAGCTGGAGCCAGGAGCCAGCCCTGGGCTCAGCTGGGCCATTCTGGGGAGGAAGGCAGCAGGGACGTCGGGGACAGTGCTCTGCTGCTGGGAGAAGGCAGAGGAAAGTGGGGCCAGGTCGGGGGGACAGTGCCCCACACACGGCAGGGACCAGACCCTCCCCTTTGGTTGGTCGATGCCAGGGCATTGACAGTTGAATGCCCATGAGGGACCAGGGAGGTAGACGTGCAGCCCCATCCCCGTGGAGCATCCCACCATCTGCAGAGGCAGCCCCAGCCCCATCACACCAGGGCAGTATCCCCAGGAAAGATGGGGTGGGGGGGTGGGGAGGGCTGTTTCCCACCTCTGCGCTTTTTCTTTTACAGGAGAAAACACTCAGGTGACTCCTGGCACCCTGGCACCCAGTCCACATGCTCCATGCCTGTCCAGCTCCATATATGCCCCACATAACCCCACAGAGCCCCATCTCCCCACCAGCTCCACATCTGCCCCAGCAACTAGGAGAAGGCACTTCCTGACCTGCGGGGACAATTCCCAAGCAGGGGGGTAGGCAAGTGCTTACCAGGGAGACAGGGGATGAGGGCATGAGTCCTGCACCCATTGGGCATGGGGCATCCTGGGCCAGCTCCTGCTTGGCTGCAAGAGGGCAGGGAGCAGAAGGGTGCTGCTATGTGGGGGTGCTGGGGCTCGAGTGGCCTTTCCTGCCCTACAGGACAGCCAGCCCCCAGAACCAGCATTGCTGCAGCCCATTCCCTGACAATCTGCCCCCGGGAAGGGTGAAGCAGCCCCTGGAGAGAGGTGACTTTGCTCCCTGCAGTGTGGGTGTCCTTGGGAGCCTTGATGCAGGCAAAGACCCCCAGCCCCTCCCTAGCCCAGCATGGGGCTGGACACAACAATTATGTGGGGCCTGTCCTACTGCATGCATGGGCAGTGGGCTGGGCAGAACACTGATGACCCCTCAGCCCATCTGTGGAGGGCCATGGAGATCAGGCTGGAGACATGGGGACTTTGCAGTGGTGCCCGTGGCCAAACCCTGGGGTCGACTATACCCCATCATCCTCCCGGGGCTGCTGGAGTTGGCAGGTCTCCCCCAGGCACAGCTTCATTGCTGCGTTGGGGGCTGCTCTGCTGTGGGGACAGCCATGCACCCTGCCCAGCATCCCCAGCATCCCAACCCCGAGGAGGTGAGGTCCCCCCTTCCGCCTCCCCATAGCATCCTCCCCTCACTGGCTTGCCCCTGAGTCCCTCCACAGCCCTCCAGCCCCGTTACCTGAGGTCAGCAGCTGGCTCAGGCAGGGGTTGGGCACCGCCGGGGGGGGCAGTGTGGAGGGTCCTGGCAGCCTCTTCACCTTGGTGCCCCCGGGCTTTGCCTTTGGCTGCCTGCCCCTGCCCTGGGGCAGTCCCTTGGGGGGGGCAAACCTGGTATCGTCCAGTAGGCCGGGGGGCAGGAGCTGGGGAGTGGCTGGGCTGGGGTACCCTGGGGGCACCATACCCGCGGCATAGCCCAGCCCTGGAGAGTGGGGCGTGAAGCAGGGCGCCGGGAGGAGAGAGGCAGGGTGGGCA